GAATTTCCCTTCATTGGAAGTCTCAAAGCAAAGGCTACTTTGTTAGGTACAGAGTAGGAGTCAATAGATACTTGAGGGTCACTTGCCTAGCAAAACTTAAACGTTTTTGATTAGTCTTTAAAACTTTTTAATGATTCTTATAAGATGGGATGATAGACTAGATATGTTGGTAACCTGAGTCTCTGCCTCACAAAATCCATGACAGGGTCTAGTGGAGAGCCCACCAGACTTCTAATCATAATCCCCAACTGATTCCTAGATTTGATTCTCATTTGATTTGGGCTAAGTTATTTCCCTTCTCTGGGCTTCTGTTTCCCTCACTGTAAAATGAGGAGTTTGGGTATTTATAGCAGCATTTTTTTTGTAGTAGCCAAGAACTGGAAACAAAATTGATACCCCTCAATCGGGAATTGGTAAAACAAGCTGTGGTACACAAACCTAATGGAATAATACTGAGCTGTAAGAAATGATGAGTGTGATAAATACAGATTAGGGGAAGACACATGAATGTAAAGTCAGCAGACTCAAGAAAACAAGAACTACAATGATAGAAATGAAAAGAACAACAAAACAAAGAAACCTGAATATTCTGCAATGATGGTCAAGTTCTGCCTCTTGAGATCTGTCCTTTCTCCCAGCTTCTTTGCAGAAGTGAGGGACTAGGAGTGTGGAACATGGCATACATAGACTTTTTTTTTTTTAAGCATATTGATTAATTACAATGAACTATGTTTTTTTTCCTCTTTTTTATTTCTCAGTATAAGAAATAAGACAGGGAGAAGGGAGAGATGCATTGGGAAATACAGATGATGTAAAAAACAAAAGATATCAATAAAATTTATTTGAAAAAAGGGGGGAAGGAGAAGTAGCTTGGACAAGATAACTAAGCTTCCTTTCAGCTCTCTGTCTTACAGACATAGACGTACACGCCCTGAAATTCAGAGACTGGCTGGGGAAAGTGCCCTCGTAACAGGTGGCATGGATTTAACCCTCTCAGGATAACTGTACCAGAGCACTAGAGAAAATGAAGCTGTCAGGGCTGAGGAAAGAGAGCAGTCCCTGCCCCTCAGGCTCAAGAAACCAGTAGGGGAGTATCTCTCATCAAAAGGACTGCTCAGCCATCTTTTCTCTCCTCCCCACTGTCCTCCCTCTCCGCCTTCTTTGTCTAATGAGCCCATTAAATTCCTGAGAAATCATAGCCTGTGACCCAGTGTTCCTGAGCTTTCTAATGAGGAGGAAGAAACACAATGAAAATGAAATACTGGTCTGTGGTTGGGGAAGGAATGAACAGTAGTCATACACACTGATGGTCAAAAATAGCTTTAGGGACAAAGGACTCTCTGCTTCAACAAACATGTCTCTTTTTGCTCCTCCACTTTCCCAAAGTTTTTCTCAACCCGACTTTGCCTTTTCTTTAGCTCTGCAGTGAAAAGAGCATTAGATTTCAGTGTCAAGGAAGACCTGGGCTCAAATCTTGGCCACTCACCATTTGTGTGACTTGGGGAAAGTCACTTTGCCTCTCTGGACCTCACTTTCCTCAGCTGTAAAATGAGGGATTGGACTAAATGACCCACAAAGTGCCTTCCTGATTTAAATCTATAGTCCTATGACCCTTTCTCTTCTTTTCTCCCTTTTCATGTCCCCTCTTCCCTTTCTCCCAGTCACTTCACCAGCATTTACTAAGATTCTACTATATGCCAGAGGTCTCACTGAACCTTGGAGAGAAAGAAACCAAAACGAAATTGTACCTGCCCTCACAGAACTAGGTGTAGCAATGACTAGAGTGCTGAACTTGGAGTCAGGAAGATCTCAGTTTAAATCCTCTCAGATATTTATTAGATGTGTGACCTGGGCACATCACATAAATTTCTGTCTGCCTCACTTGATCACATCTCTAAAATGGGAATAATAATACTCACCTCACAAGGTTGTGAGGATCAAATGAGATGCCATATATAAAGCTCTTTGTAAACTTTCAAGTGCTATATAAATGCTGACTAGCATCATCTTCATCATTATCACTATAACCATCATTATAATCTCTGTCATCATCTTCATCACCATCATCATCTTCATCAAGACCACCATCATCATCTCCACCACCACCTTCATCATCACCATCATCATCATCACTATCACCATCATAAGCACCACCACCATCTTCATCCTCTAGTGAAGCCTTTCCTATTTGCCCACCCAAGCCAGAGCTCCTTCTTGGCACAATGGTAGAGAGGAGGTCTCCTTTTCAGACTCCCACCTAGGTCCTACCTTATGATCCCATTGTCCCCGTCCCACGTTCTACCATTGTTCACTCCTTCCTCCCTCTCTGGGCTCCATTACTGCCTCTCTGAATTTCTTTTTCCACCATGCTACAAGAGCCTTCTCACTTTGGAACACCACTCCATGCCTGGCACCCCTTCCTTTGATTGATCAATTCCTCCCTGAACCTCCATTTTCAGAAAAGTGCCAAGGCCAACCATGTTTACTCCTTTCTTCTCCAGGCTCCTGACTCTCTAGACTTCTATCTCCATTATGCCCCAACTCAATCAACCAATCAATCAACATTTATTCAGGGTACCTTCTCCCTCCCTCCTCTCTCCTTTTCAGCTCCCTTTTATACTTACCTTCCCTCATTAGAATGTAAACTCCTTCGAGGCAGGGACCCTTTTTCTTTTTTGCCTTTTTTGCATCCCAACACTTAGCACAGTGCCCACACATAGTAATCACTTAATGGATACTTTGTTGAGTTGTTGATTTGTCTAGGAAGTCAGTGGATTAGGAAGGAGAAAGAGGCACCCAATAGGGAGTCCCTTAAGAAACCCAGGGGGTAGTAGGTACAAAGCCACACATTTATACCACTGGTTGATTGGAGGAGGTTCTAACCTTTGGGCTGGAGAGGGTAATGCATAGGCAATCAGGGAAATGGGATTACTAGCCCCATAGATGATGCAGCTGTGGCCCGGAGAGATGGAGTAAGTTTCTCAACATCACACAGCAAGTTAGTGGTTGAGCCAGGACCCAGATCCAGACCTCCAGACTCCCAGTGTTTTTTTTTCCCTATACCACACTGCTTCTGGTTGTCTTCTACTAGTCTCATGTGTATGTGTGTGTGTGTGTGTGTGTGTGTGTGAATTGTCTCCCCAGCTAACAATGTCATTGACTTGAGGGCAGACACCATGTTTTGGTCTGGGTTTGATTGTTGGGTCTGGCACAGTGGTAGGAAGAGGTCTCTTTCCCCCTAGATTCCCACCCCATGCCAATAAGTGCCGGTATAGCCCTTGATTCTAAAGTCAAGCCAGCAGGTCTACAGGAAAGCAGAGGCAGGGAAAGTGGGCAGTGTGGGAGGGAATGGGGGAAATGGAAGGGAGAAGGGGAAGTGGGTGGGGGAAGCCAGGTGCTCCCAAGGAGAGAAAAGGGGGTTAAAAGAGGGAGTGAAGGAATACCCCCTTTACCAATATTCCCTTCTTTATAATGGGGGATGAAAGGACCAATAATATTTGGCTGATGGTATTTGTGTCTTTATTTCTCTGCTGTTTCCATTCTTGAGAAACCAGGTGGGGGAGGGGCTAAGGATGCACTCAGAGGCTGCTCCTACTCTTATCCTAGATGCCCATTTTGGGGGATGGGTTTTATTGCACCTTATTTTTCACGCATGATGACTTTGCCCTTCTACACTCCTGCCCCCGCCAGCCCAAGGCTCAGCGGGAAGCTTGTGGGTTCGTGCCAGTCTTGCCAACCACCCACTGTCCCCATGCCCCCCAAAGAGAACTCCAATTCCAGCTTCAGCTCAAGCCTAGGATTTCACCTCCCCCTCCTACTTCATGCTCAGTGGGACTGAGGCTGGGAACAGCTCGGCTCCTGCAAGAGGGTGGGAGTGGGGGAGGTGGGGCTAAGGGGCCCAGATACTTGAACGACCTGTAATTTCATCAGTGTGGGTGCTTTCCACTGTGACATTAATCACAACCTCTTCAAATTACAGGAGTATGGATTTAGAGATGGAAGGGACCTTAGAGGCCACTGGGTCCATTCCCTTCATTTTGCTGAGGTCCAGAGAGATTAAGTCATATGCTTAGGGTCACACAGCACGAAAATGTCTTCCATGGGGATTTGAAACTAGGTCTTCCTGACTCCAAATCCAGCGTCCAGAGTTGTTGTGACCAAAAAACATTAATCTCCCAGAGGCCAAGATGGTAATTAGCTTTCTCTGAGCTTAACTAGGTTGGTCCTCTGACCAGAAACATGTCTGCGGTCTGGAATAGTCCCAGATTTAAAACCTTCCCAACCTCATTGGCCTTTGTACTCTGTGGGCATAGTCTTTGACAGGCCAGGTTACCCTCAAGACAGGAGGCAATACGAGAGGAGGGCTTTGGTAGAAAAAGGGGGCAGGGGATCAAGTCAGAGAGAATAACAGGCCAAACCCAATCCTAATCCCATGAGGCCCTCCATCCCTCAGTCTGGTTGCACAGAAAGTCTCAGTTGTGCTGTCTTTCACCCAGCATGGTCTTTGTGTCTCCCTCTTCCCTCTCTTTCATGTGCCCCATGATTCATTGAGTTGTCAAAACCTCCCCCTGCCAAGCCCTTATCTCACTGGCTCATCCCCAGTCCCCAGTAAGACCCTTCCCTTCATGAAGTCATAGGTGAGACATGGGAGCCTAGGGTCTGCAAGAATGGGATATGCTTGGCCCATCCTAGGCTTTGTTGATTCTATCTTGGAGGGAGAGGTGTGACATTCTAGGTCTTTTGCCTCTATAGTAGGGGTCTTTTTTTTTTTTTTGTATCCTGGAATCTTTTAGTGGTCTGGGGAAGCCTATAGACCCCTTCTCAGAATCATGTTTTTAAATGCACAAAATAAAATTCGTAGGATTATAAAGAAAGCCAATTATACTGAAATACAGTTATCAAAATATTTTTTAAAAAAGTTCACAGACCCTAGGTTAAGAACCCCTGAACTAGGGTCTCTCCCCCTCTTCCTGTGCTGAGCTTTGCCAGGGAGTACTCACCATTCTTGTCAGCCCGGCGGAAAATCTGCAAAGAGGGGAGAATCCAGGTTAATTTTGGGGGGGGGAACACTCCCATTTCCCTGATCTCAGGGCCTGTCCCCCAATCCCTTTTACCCACCTGAGGGAGAAGCCTGAGGGGCCAAGGAAGTAAGATGGATTGAAGCACATATAGTCTCAGAAACTTATATATTAATATACATAGAGTCTCATTCACCTATAGATATGATCACAGGCATTCATACATACTTATAGAGTCATAGTCATAATCACAGAGACACAATTAACACACAGTCACACACACATACACCCCCCTATACAAATAAGGTCAGCCCCAGACAAAACTGGGAAGTGAGACAACTTGTCAACCTTCTCAACTCTTCTCCTTTTCCTCCTACAGCGAATTAATAAAAAGTGAATCCTGAAAGAAATCCCAAGGAATGAGTATCTAATGGTGGAACTTCAGGCACCACGAAAGGTAGGCAGGGGATGTTATTTTATTAGGGTACCTCCTTCACTCCCTTCACAGAAGGGATTTTCTACTGTGCCTTTGGGTGAGGGCAGCCCTGTGTTCAGCCTCATATGTATAGTCTGTGTTCCATGCTTGGGCACACACACACACACACACACACACACACACACACACACACACACACACACAGGAATCATAGAATTTAGAGCTAGAAGGAATTTATGAGACATATACGAATGCACACAGCCATGCACACCCTCACGCTCAAACCTCCAAAGGATGGATTCTCCTCTGGGTACCAGAGGACATGAGACAGAAACTCCAGGAGCTCCCAGGGGCTGGGCCAGACTGTGGTAGCAGCTCCAAGCATGGTGGAGGCTCTTATTTACACAGTGTTTCAAGGTTTGCAAAGCACTTTTCAAGCCCTATTTCATTTGATTCGAACAACCACCTCATGAGGTGGGTACTATAATTATTATTATCATCCCCATTTTGCAGAGGAAGAAACCCGAGGCAAGCAGAGCAGAAGTGACTTGCCCAGTGACGTAGATAATAAGCCCCTTGAGTTAGAATTTGAACTCAGGTCTTCCTGATTTCAGTTCTGGTGCTTTATCCACTGTGCCACCTAGCTGCTATTAAGCTGCCCTTAGTAGTGGGGCATCCTGAGAATGTTGTTTTGGGGGTAGAAAGGAGTTAGTAAGTCAGTCTCCTGTCCTTTATTAAGCCCCTACTATGTGCCAAGTATTAGAAGGAGGCTAGGAGCTGTTTTCCTCTTTTTCTTCCTCTCCCAAACCTGGGTTGAATAGGGCCTTCCCTGACTCAGGTGAGCCCTCAGTTGGGGATTGCTGGCCCCAAGTACTAGACATCAGAATGGCCCAATTCTGATCACCCCTCTTCTGGCACTTGGTGAAAAGTGGAGGGGGAGTAACTAGGGTACTAGAGGGTCCCACATTTCTGTGCATTGGGGATCACTTTGTTCTCAATACCAGAGATTTGGAAGGCATGAGTGTGCTGGCATATACCAAGAAGCCTTTCGAGCCTGGGCAAGAGACTAGAGACTCAGATACAAAGGACCTGAGAGATTCTGGAAGAAAAACAGAGGCCACGAAGTGATGAATCAGGGTTCAAAGGGGTGGGGGGAGGACTGGCAGTATGGCTTCTAATCCTAGCTCCAATACTTGTGTGATATTGACAAGTTACCTGCTGTGAGCCTCAGTTTCCTCCATAAAATGGGGATATTAATACTTGTTCTATATGACAGAGTTGAAGGAAAACACTAAATATTATAGAAATGAGCTACTACTACTACTACTACTACTACTACTACTACTACTACTACTACTATTACTACTACTACTACTACTACTACTACTACCACTACCACCCAGTACTGAAGGGTCTTCAAGTGACAAATTTCCTAACAGCAACATAGTGGGATCTGTGTCTTTTCTCTCCATGATTTCCTGCCTGGATAGTCTGTGCCCTTAGAATCCTCATTCCTTGAGTAGCCTTGGTTACCAGCCTGAGAGTCACTTACTGTCCATCAGTATCTGATTTCTGAGGAGGGGGATAGGGAAGAGATAAAGGACAAGAGCCTGTCCCTTTTCTAGGTGTAAGGAAACACAGGTAGCCCCTGATTCCGAGTAGAATCTTAGAAACTAGAATTCCATATGTCATCCAATCCAAAATCTTTGTAGAAATGACTGAAGGGAAATGACTTGCTCAGAAGTTCAAAGAGATCTGGAACCCAAACCTTTCAGTTTGGTGCTTCCATCCCAAGGCAGAGTCCAGTCAACTAGGGGATACTCAGAGCCAGATAGAGCCTCACCCCCAGGACTCCGAAAGAAAAATCGGAAGTAACCTTAAAAGGTGGGGAGCACGGGAGGGTTGGGGTTCTGGGTTCGATCTCTCTCATAGGAACATCTCTTCCCTTCCCCCCCCCAAAAAACAGATGCACACTTTCTGCACACATACGTCCACCACTGCTGGGAAGAAAGAGCGTGGGATATGAACCCCACCTGGTTGGGAAGGGAAAGAGACACCCATAATCTCGACCCTGCCCCATAACCACCGGGTCTACACTGAATGGACCAAACCACTTGGACTCAGCGTTGTCCAATCACCCCCTTAAACGCGACCCCAACTAAGCAGATTCCTAAAGCTGGGGCTGTAGAGGGGAGGCGTCCAGGGTGGGAAACCAGGTCCGAGGAAAAGAAGGGAAATTGAGGGGCGGGGGTCAGAGAGTCCTGTTAGGAGGGGGAGGAACTCTGGAGAGAGACTGTGATCAGGGAAGAGTATTGAGGAAAGCGCCAGGGTCTACAGAAGGGACTGTCCCAGGGAGGATGTCTGGATTCAGGGAAGGGCTGCGATAGAGAGGCTGCGGATTCGGAGAGGTCTAGGGGTGGGGAGACGATCAGAGCTCAGTCTCGGGAAAGGAGGCGAGGGTGGGGGTGGGGTGGGAGCGGAGAGGCAGGGAAGTGGGATGGGGTGGGGACTGAGGATCCCTTGGGATGGGAAAGGGAGCAGGATCCGATTTAGGGAGAGGAGGGAGGAGAGAGCCCCCAGGAGAAGGGAAAGCTTTCACGGGATCCTGAAGGATGAGAGACGGGGAGCAGGGGGCTAAGGATAGATGTGAAGGGGGAGCTAAGATCGTGCGGGAGTCAGACATGCCGAGACCGTAGGGGACGGTGTAGGGATGGGGAGAGGTGGAAAGGAAGAGAGGTGTGGGGTAAGGGTGGGAGAAAAGGAGGAGGAGGAGGAGGAAGAAGAGGAGGAAGAACCCCGGGCCAGGGAGGGCTACTCACGTCCAGGATGACCGAGGTGCCCCTCCTAGGTGGGGACGGGGGCGGAGGCGGGGTGGGACAGAGCCCTTGGACAGTCCTGGCCCCCGGCCCGTCGGCCAGCGGCTCCCGGGGTTCGCCCATCCTGGCTCCCACCCAACGGAGCAGCCCCCCCAGCGCCCGGCCCTGCGGCGGCGGCTCCCGGAGCAGTCTGTGCGCGCCGGCCCTGCAGAGGCGCGCCGCCCGCTCACACATCGCTCGCGCAGCGCCCGCCTCCCGCCTCCCGCCTCCCTCCCGCCGGAGCCACCGCCGCCCCCCCCCCCCCCCGCGCCCCCCCCCCCCCCCCCCCGCCACGGTTTCCCTCCCTTCCTCTTATTTCTGAGGATGATGGGGGTGGGGTAGGGCTAGGGGCTGAGTCCCAGCGGGGATAACTGGGGGGCGCATTAGGACAGTTGGAATCCGTGAAGTCAGGAGTAGGGGCTGAGGCTGGGAGGGGGAGAGGAGAGGTGTGCTGCGCTGGCCGGGGCCTCTTGGACTCAGCATCTAGGAAGGGCTGGAGTCCAGCCTAGGAGTGCCCCTGAGGCCTCCAACACATCGATCCTTCCTTACATCTTTCCCTGTCTCTGGTTCCTCAGCTGGCAGGCACAGGCGAGGAAAGAAGAGTTTCCTTAAGTCAGGCGCTCCCTCTGCCGGCAAAAGCCCCAGAACTCTCATTCACACGACTCCCCCGGCTCCTGGAGCATTCTTTACTCACACCCCTCCCAGGGCCCTTCAGAACCCGAGCACTCACTTAGACACTGGTCCCTTCCCACCCCATCCCATCCCACCATTCATTCACTCACGGGGCTACAAGGCGAGATGGAATCCCCCTTCACACACTGACTAGCTGTGTGACCCTGGGCAAGTCACTTAACTTCTGCCTCCCTGTGTCCCCATCTGTAAAATGAGATCTAAGAACTGGGGGGAAAAAAGACTCTGCTAGTTTTAAATCTATTATCCCGTCACATCCCATCCCCCTGGCCTTGATTCTCTCTCTGTCTCTGTCTCTATGACTCTCTCTCTCTCTCTCTCTCTCTCTCTCTCTCTCTCCCTCCTTCCCTCCCTCTCTCTCTCATAGCACTCGGGATAAAAACAAAACAAAACAAAAAAACACCAAGAAGGCCTGTCCTCAAGGAGCTTACATTCTGAGGACATGCATGCAGCATGGATAAATAAAGGTAAATTCAAAATACATGCAAATTAATTTTAAGAATGAGAATACTAACAACTAGGGAAACAGGAAAGGTTTGCATAGGAGGTGACCCCTGAAAAAGGCATTGGTGAAGGGACAGCATTCTAGATGTGAGGCACCACTTGGGTAAAGGGATGGAGACGGGAGATGGTCATATATGGGGAACAGCTAGTATGCTAATTTGAATGAATCTAGGATCGTATGAAATAAGACTGGAAATGTGGTTGGGAGCTATGTTGTCATGGGTCTTAAATTCTAGGTGGAAGATTCTCTATTTTATTTGGGAAGCAATAGAGAGCTACTGAGGATTTTGGAAGACGCAGATGACATAGTCAGACTTGTGTTTTAGGAATATCACCGTTAATGTGTCAGCTTCAGGGAGGGTGGATTGGAGAGGGGAGAAGTTGTTATTGTTGTTTGTCCTTCCTTCCTAGAAGAGGACCTTGACGTCAGGGAGGTGATGCCATGACTGGCAAGTGAATTGGATTTAAGTGAGGGAGGGCTGTGCAAAGTCACCAGCCTCCCTTTCTCCTCCAGAGCCATCTGGGTCCAGCGGCCAGATACAGATCAGGATGACTGGAGATGGCCTCATTGAGAGCCCTCTGGAAGCAGAACGACCAAAAGGAGGCTGTTGCAATTTTGCAACGGAGAGGTGGTAAGGGCTTGAGCTGGGGTAGAAGCTGAGTGAAGAGAAGGGAAGGGGTTAGTCCAAGATGTTCTGGAGGTAGAACCGATGTGATCTGGCCAATGACGTCATGAGCTTTCCCTCCCCCTCCACTACACACACCACATCAGTTTCCCACTTGCTCATTCACGCACTCTGTCCTCGTGACTCCAGGGTTTTGCTAAGACACAGCCAGAGACTTAGACAATACAGCCTGTTTGAGGTCACTGGGATCGCCACACAAGCACAAGCTGGAACATCACAAAGACAAACTCTCTCCAAGGACGGACTTTGGCAGCCATTTGCTTTATTCAAGGGGTGGTCCTGGGGAAGAGCCGAGGTCGCTAACCTCCTAGGGCTGACTTTAATCATCAGTGTTGCTCATTGGCCCAGGCTCTGGGGCCTTGACAGCCTGCTGTTCTAGAGGCCTGCAAATCTCCACTTTGGGTTCAGGAAACTTTTAAGCTGGTCAGCACTAAGTATACTTCTCAGACCCTGGTCCAGCCAGACCCACAAACACTGTACTTTTCCCAGGGCATGTGCTCGACCTTTGGGTAGCCCTGACATTTTGGTCTATTAACAAGGAACTGGTCTTTAGAATCACTGCCCTTCCCATCCCCCCCTTTATATATACACACTCCCTACAGGGAGATATCCCTCTAGGGGAGGCCTATGTTGGGGCCTAGGCTCATGTCTGAGCCCCAGTCACTGTACCAGGCAGGACTGAGCAGGTTTCCTTCCTTGTCTGAGCTGGGCTGTGAGGTTGGGGGCATGGTGGGTGGGCAGAGGAAGCCCTAGGGGGGCTTCCTATTTTCTTTCAGCAGGGAGCTGGCTACAGCCAATGCCCCTCCCTGCACAAATCTCACAAAGTTGTCTCCCACCAGGGGCCCCATGGCGTAGAGGCTCCTCTGGCGGGTGCTCTGGTAGGTGAAGGGGTCGACCTCAATGGGATTCCTCTTGGGGCTGAGCGGTTGATCTGGGTCCACAGTTAGGTCAGTGCCGCCATGGGCCAGGAAGGAGAGGTCAGGGTAGGAGCCGATGAGGACCAGCACAAGGGAGACCCTGAACAGCTTGTGTTCCCCATTTTGGTCCTGGAACACAGCCTGATGGTCCTCCTGGAAGACCAGGGGCTGATGTTTAGGCAGACTCAAGTAACCTTTATAGGTGGTGGAAGAGAGGATGGATTTCTCCCGCATCATCTGGTGTACTTTTTGGTACTCCGGGTACATCGTCTTGGGGAGCTGGTTGAAGATGAGGCCAGGGTCATCCACAGGCCGGCGGAATGCATGGATCACTGGGAGGTTGTAGTGCCGAGCATAGAGGATGGCATCGGCTGCTGATAGCCCAGCCCCGACAATGAGCACGGGGTCCGACGTAGGGGTCACAGCCCCAGCCTTCATGGCCTCTTCTAAGGCAGACAGCTCATAGTGAACGTAGGGAAGATCCTCTCCAACAATGCTGAGCCGGGCTGGGCTGTCTGATGTTCCCGTGGCCAGGACCACGTTGCGGGCACGGAAGCTGAAAGGCTGCTGGCTCCCGTCTGTGGTGGTCATAAAGCCGCTCACCACGAACAGGGGACTCCCGTCCTGCTGGCTCCTGGTTTCCCCTGACTCTGGGCTCCCAATGTCCACGGCAGTGACCACAGAGCCACAGACAAAGTTGTGGCTGAGTCCCTTTTTCACCACATAGTCCTGGTAATAACGGGCAATGTCCCCAGCCGTGGCCCGGCTGTCCCGCAGGCCCCTGTGGTGAGGAAAGTCAGAGGTCAGTCTCAGTGATCTCAACAATGTAGGCACATGAGCCCTTATACCCTTCAGAAGGTGCAGAAAAGATTGGCCTACGGCTTCCTAGTGTATCTAGCTACTCCTACGCAATGGTTGCTTTCCCAAAGGGACTGGCCCATTAGCTTTTTTGAGGACAGAGTGCTGGACTTGGAGTCAGGAAGACCTGAGTTCAAATCCTACCTCAGAACTTATATCTGTGTCAGGCACACTCACTATCTGAGTGATCCTGGGTGAGACACTTAACCTCTCTGTTTCCTCATCTGTAAAATGGGGGTAATAATAGTACCTACCTCCTGAGATTATCGTCAAGATAAAATGAAATAGTATTTGTAAAAGTGCTTTGCAAACTGTAAATCCCTCTACAAATATATTTTATAACTATGTAAATGACATAAATATATTTTATATATAAAGCTTTCAGTTGTGTTCAACCCTTCATGACCCCATTTGGGGTTTTCTTGGCAAAGATATTGGAGTGTTTTACCATATTCCAGCTCATTTTACAGATGAGGAAACTAAGGCAAACAAAGTTAAGTAACTTGCCCAGGGTCACATAGCTAATAAATGTCGAGGCTGGATTTGAACTCAAGTCTTCTTGACCTGAGTAGTTCAATCCCCTCACTTTAGAGTTGAATGAGTAGAGACCCATAACCTAGATCTCTGGGCTCTTTCCCATAAATCCCAGCACTCTATCCACTGTGCCACCTAGCTGCCCCAATATAAATGCTAGCTATTGTCTATAGCCCAACCAGATTGGGGTATGTGATGAGAATTTCTATCCATGCCCTCCCCCCTGAGGGGATGGCGAGTGCAACAAGAGAGAATTGGAAGAGGAAACCGCCTAGGGCAAAAAAGAGGGGGCAAAGGACATTCTAGACAGGGTTAAAGTAAGGGTAAAGACAGAGGGGATGGGGGCCCATAAGTTGTGTTGGCCAACATAACCTAGGCCTTGAACTTAGAGCAAACTCAGACTACGAGCTCATCCTTCTGTTGTGGGGCTGGGAGGTGTGTGGGTGGCTATTTTTTAAGGATCATCGAATGCCAGTGCTGGAAGCAACTTGAGCGTTCATTTAGTCCAATCTCCTCAATTTAGAGTTGAAGGAGTAGAGACCCATAACCTAGGTCTCCGGGCTCTGTCCCATAAATCACTTGGCCCTTTAGCTCCTCAGTAAAATGTCCTTTTTGCAGTCTTGCTAAAGCATGCCTCCTGCCTCTCAGTGGAGAGGGGACATGCTGCACTTGCCAGGTGGGGCCGATGTTCTGACTTGTTTTTACTTAAGTGACCTTCTTTGTTAGAAGGCAGGGTTCTGCTTTTGTGGAGAAGTAATCACTGGAGAGTAGCAGCAATGAAAAAAAAATAAAGAACATGCATAAAACGTTAAAAAAAAATGAAAAAAACCCTGACTTTGTCTTAGCATCCAAGAGGAGACTCTTTGTAAGTAGAGAGGAATCAGAGCTATGTATTTAGAGATGGAAGGGACCCAAGAGGCTACTGAGTCCCACTCCCTCATTTTAATTTTTTTTTTTTAGGCAATTGGGGTTAAGTGACTTGTCCAGGGTCACACAGCTATTAAGT